TCCAGGGTCCTCCACTAATGTCCTGTTGCCAAGTTTAATTATACTGTCACATCTAAACAGACCAAGTTAACCAATAAACAGAAGACTAGCAGTGGTAAGCAGTGTGATCATTGTCAAGACAAAGTAATCTCACCTTCTGTCCGTTAAAATGAGGACAAATAATCCCAGGACAATGAGACAAAAATAAGAGCAGTTTTCTTCATTCAAGCCTTCCGGTCCTCTATAAACCACAGACTGACTGAAACTCCTCAACAAAGACATGAGGAAACAGCCCCTCCCTCCAAACTCACACACACACACGCGCACACACACACACTCAAGCCACAAACTGGTGAAGGCCACATTCATTGTGCATAAAATCCACTAGATGTTACAATGTACATACATAGTGCTGTGTGTTACTGATAGCTTCTGCACCTTGAAATGATAAATTCATGATTGTCTTTTTATGTTTTTATATGTCTTTTTATGCCCAACATTGTCATAACCAAGTGTCTGCTAAATATTATTTGTTGTAAATATATAAAAAAATACAATAATATAAATATAATATATATACAGTAAATATATATATATAAAATATATATTTATATTTTATATATATATTTGTTGCATTAAAAAGCCATTCTTTAAAAAGTCTCCTTTTATGTTGTGGAGAAAGATACTTGTGAGGGTGAGTAAATAATGACAAAATGATCATTTTTGTGTCATTTTTGCTTTGAAGATAAATAAGGAAGAAATTTAATAGATTTTAGTCAGAATGGACGACGTTCTGAATTTTACGTGGAAGAAAACAAGGCTGTGAGAGTCTTTCTTTATAATGGCCTGCACTGTGAAAAGGTCATAGATCAGACGTCATTTTCAAAACTGTTCTGTAGAGTTTTTGTCTACTGTAAGTTTTCTGGAAAGCTGAACAATTGGCATGTTGTTAAAAAGCAGTACAATCCATTGAACGCATTGTGCTTCTATCTCTCACAACCTCATTTTCATTCCTGTAAAAAGTGAAATATGGCGGAACCCTGACTAAGGTCTCTGGTGCCCTTTCAACAGCCTTGAGCAGCATCAGTCTCATTTCAAACCCTCTTGGCAGACAAATACTCTCACGTTAAAAAATTCTAATGGACTCGGGATAAACACGCTAAAATTAAATGCATGCAAAGCTACACCTTACAAGTTTATTAAACCGTTTACCAGATTCCACTGCAAATCTTATTTACTTTAATCTCATTTTCGACATGGAGTGCAGACAGAGAAGAGACCTGAGCATCTGGTGTTGCACAACCATCTTGACACATCCCAGACAGCCACAACTCAACTTGTATTTACACAAACCTGACGTTTGTGTAAATACTGATGCCCTTTCTGTTGCATGCAGTTAATGAAGTCAATTTTTCTAATTCTGCTTGGATCACTTCCGGTGTGAATTTGAAGCTACTTTTAGTATTTCCCCTTTGGTGGGGAAAACATGACATCTGAACATCAACCTGCCATAACAACAGTATCTACAACAATCACTCAAGAGCTGTCAGTGTATAACCAATGATGTAATGACCTAGGCAGGTCAGGTGGGAATTTTCTGCTTCATCAACCACTGCTCAAAGAAAAACATTATCAGTTTGTCTTGGTACAATATAAAAATGACTTATAAAGTTGTAAATAAAACAAAGCTTATTGGAGTACAATTTCTGAATTAAAATTGTATCTGCACTATTTTTTTTCCAGTGTACGATTAGTGACTTGTTGTGCTAAACATATAAGTAGTGCTGGGCGGTATACCGGTTCATACCGAATACCGGTGTTTATTTTTGTTATGATATGAATTTTTAAAATACCGGTGTATATCACTTAAACAACGTTCTGGACGCGACACTGTTTGAAAGGGGTCCCTTTTCACTGTTGCACTGTGGTGAGGGAACAGCTGTATGTGTTACTAAGCGTGAAAGTTCTTAAACTGAAGCTGTAGAACTAATAGAACATGATGACACAGAAGAACTCATCCACAATATCCACATTGACCACCACAAATATCCACCGCCCCACGCCATCAGCTCCCGCGATCTCACATACACGAGCACGACTTTAGTACTAGATTTAGCAACTTTCAGACCCTTTTAGTGGCTTTTTTCCATAGAATATTCATACTGACAAACCTAGCGACTTTTTTGGATAAACCTTAGCTATGGTTCAGTTGGAATATTTTGCCAGTGCTGTCCCGCGAACGCGAGGTCTGACTTTCCCGGAGAAGTGTCGCCTCTCTCGGCGTCTGTTCTGTGCAGTGAGCGGAAGAGAAGCAGCGCTTTCAGTTGGCCGCACCGCAGCCGACTCCTCAATAAACAGAGGTGGACAGTAACTAAGTACATTTACTTGAGTATTGT